TATATATATATACATGTATATATATACATATGTATACATATATGTGCATATATATACACATATATACTATATATACATAACGTAGAATCGTTTTCACAGAAATAGAAGTTGGCGTAGGATTGCTACTTTTCAAATACCATCTTAGCAGTGCATGATGGCTCCTTCCATCTTGCCCATTGAAGAATCAATGAAATGGGACAAATCTCGAAAATCATATGTTCCACGCTGAACGTGCCAACTCTTTTAGTACAAGCACGCTTATATAGTTGTCAGGGCGCCGGTTTGCCCAACATGCTTTTAGCCACAACAATATATCGACAAATGACAGTGGAGATGTTGAAAAATAACGGTCTTATTAAGTGTAGGTTTCGCAAAACCACTAGATGTCGATAATGGATCCAGTTTTTCAGCGAATGGCATTCTGGTGAGCCGGCGCCCTAGTAGCTCTTCCCAAGTCTGCATGAAATCGGACGGGCTACACATTTTTATCTCCGTTAAGTTTTGTTTCACGACCTTTGTTCGATTCAGCATTTTCTTCAGCCGCACACAGCCAGCGGTCGTCATCAAATTCACCGATTGCTGTATCGGCGACACATAGCGAAAGGAGAAAAATTGAGCTCACGAAGATGGATATAGAAAGTAAGGCTTACTTCTCTGCTGTGATTGTGATTGGTGGAGTACAAATGCTCTTTAAGGGTTCGCTGATTTAGGCGAGGAAGACCGCTTGCGTCGGCGTTTACTCGAAAAACGAGAAAGAGAAGCGAAACATAGCGATGATGAAGAGATGTTTACCATACAACCAAAAGTTCATTCAGTTTTCTTCTAAATTATGTTTTGTAATTTTTATATCTCTTTTTAGAAGCCCAGGAGCGAGAAACCAGATAAGCCCGAAAAACTTGAGAAACCCCGAGAAAAGCATCGTGACAGGGAAAGAAGGGATCGAGAACGAGAAGGCGACAAACAGAAGCATAAGCACGGAGGTTGATTGAAATTTTGCCGTGAAACCTGTATGTGAACGTATATATGTATGTTTATTTTCAGATCGTCGAGATCGAGACAGGGATAGAGAAAGAAATGAGGAGAAACACAAGAAGAAGCATGATGTATGTACCAGCTTGGAGGTTTCTATTTTTTTCAAGCTCCAAATCATCATTTAGTCTCAGTTGCCTTGTGAGGCT